CCTGAGGCTGCTAAGTGGAAAGAGGCAATGGACATCAATATCAAGTCCATGTATGACAACCAAGTTTGGAATTTGGGTGACAATGTACCAGGTCGTACGACAGTTGGGTGCAAATGGATCTTCAAGAAGAAGACCGACATGGATAGAAAGGTACACACTTTAAAAGCTCGACTGGTTGCGAAGGGCTTTACTCAAACCCCATAGGTTGACTATGATGAGACCTTATCACCAGTAGCTAAGATTAAATCTATTAGGGTAATATTGGCCATAACTGCGTTTCATGACTATGAAATTTGGCAGATGGATGTCAAAATCGCTTTCCTTAATGGGAAGTTGGTTGATGATGTTTACATGAGTCACTTAGAGTGTTTTGTGGATGCAAAGTATCCCAATAGAGTGTGTAAGCTTGAGAAATCAATCTATGGATTGAAACAAGCTTCTCGCAGATGGAATCTTTGCTTTGACGAGAAAGTTAAAGAGTTTGGCTTCTCTAGAAGTGAAGATGAATCTTGTGTATATTTCAAAGCTAGTGGGAGTATAGTAACCTTCGTGGTATTGTATGTTGATGACATACTTCTTATAGGTTACGACATTCCAACCTTGCGAGAAGTTAAGTCTTGGCTTGGAAAGTGTTTCGCTATGAAATATCTGGGAGAGACTGCTTATATTCTAGGGATAAGAATTTTGAGAAACATGAGCAAAAGACTAATTGGACTTAGTTAAAGTATGTACTTGGATAAGGTGTTAAAGCGTTTTAGCATGGAAAATTCCAAGAAAGTTGAGTTACCTATCTAGAGCAATACCAAACTGAGTAAGACTCGGAGTCCAAGTACAGATGTCGAGATAGTGGAAATAAGTCGAGTTCCATACGCTTCCACCATTGGATCGATCATGTATGTTATGACATGTACTCGACCTGATGTGGCCTTTGCTTTGAGCATGGTTAGTCGATATCAGGGAAATCCAGGTAGAGCTCATTGGATAGCAGTCGAGAATATTCTTAAGTATCTGGGAAGAACTAAGGACTGGGTCCTTGTGCTTGGTGGCAGTGATAACTTAAAAGTGATTGGGTATAGTGACACCAGTTTTCAGACAGACAGAGACAGCTTCCGTTCTCAGTCTGGTTGGGTATTTACCTTAAATGGAGGAGCGGTAACTTGGAAAAGTTCCAAACATGAGACGGTGGCTAATTCTACCTGTGAATCAGAGTACATAGCAGCAAGAGAAGCATCGAAGGAGGCTATATGGTTGAAGAACTTCATCGGAGACCTTGGAGTTGTGCCATCCATAAAGGAGCCAATGGAGATTTTCTGTGATGATGAAGGAGTGGTTGCCCTGGCAAAGGAACCGAGAGATCATGGCAGATCGAGACATATCAACAAAAAAATACCATTTTATCAGACATAGAGTAGAAGAATGACACCTCATCGTGAAGAGGGTATCATCATAAGAGAATCCTGCAAATCCCTTCACAAAGGGTATGAGTAGGATTAAGCACGTTCAACATGCAAGGAGCATTGGTCTGAACAATGATATTAGTTTTAGTAGTTAGATAGGTATTTAGAAACTTGTAACAAAGTAAATGCAATTGACTTTTGATGAGCAAGTAATAAAGAGTTATTTATAAGTAGTGTTTACTATATTTTGTCAATTGTTTATTATTGTGTTTCATTTTGCATGTTTTACTTCGCGAATAATCTGGTTATTCAAACATCCACAGTCGATCATACTTTTGGAAGTAAGTAGTGAATAAATACTGTCATGAATTGGATTGTAGATTGTCTAAAGAGTTTTAGACAAAGCAATGGCTTTGATGTAATGTTCATGAGTACTTTGAAATGGAGATTTAAGTATTGGATTAACCCGCGCTGTGAGAATTAGTTCATGGAATTTATCTTCTGAGACAATAATATCCTATAATCTTTAAACGGAGATATATAAGTCGTGGTTTACAAATCAATTGTGCATTGATAATATGTAAACACATTAGTAACTTGATGTTATAAAACGTATTGTTGTGCGTGATTTGGTGAGTAAATAGCACAAGCATATAAGTAAAAGTTTATATGTTCCTTTTTTTCTTAATGGGAAAAAGCGATATCTTGGGCCACTCGATGATTTGGTGTTGACTTATAGTGTCGGGCCCAGCCCGGACTAAATTGATATGTTCGATTATTAGTTATTTGTCATTACAGATCAGAAACTGGGAAACAAAGTATTAGACAATAAGATTGATTATGTTCCATGTCGTTTGTCCACATGATATATTGCAGAACAAAGGATTATATGATCACTTATCTTAGGACACGTAACTAACTAATTCAGAGTTCGACAACAGCTTTGAGAGCTACAATTTGGTGATCTGTTTAAAGTTATACTGGCAACTATAATTATTAGACTTATCCAAGAGGGAGACTGTTGGATTAGGTGTCTAAGCCCATAACTATAATTAACTATAATTGGTATATACTTGAATTGATAGTAGCACAGTCGTTTTGGGTTGCCTTCAAAACTAGCAACTAAATAGGATGACTTTTGGAGAGAGAGGTTGAATTTATCATTTGATTAATAAATTGAAATAAATAATTTGTTAATATCTTATGAGAATAATATATTAATTAGAAATAACAATATTTAATTAATATTTAATCTGAAATTAATTGGAATTAATTTTGGGATTAAAAGAATTAATTAAAAGTGTAGGGGCTAAAGTGCAATTGTTCAATAGTTGAGCAAGAGGTTCCAGTACCTTCCTAGGAAAGGAGGTTGATAGTTTTCATATGGATAATCTAGGGTTTCTAGATTATCCCATGTGGATAAATGTGGAGCTGGATAATTACCAATTTGAAATATTAATATTATATTCAGATTAGGGTTATCCAGGACATCCTATCTGCACTATAAATAGACCTCTAACCCTCATGATTTTCGGCCACTTGAAACCCTAGAAGAATAGCCGAAATTCTTAAGCCTCTTTTCCTCTCTCCTCTCTCATCCTCTTGTTAGTGTTGGGTGTGATCTACTAGAGGCACGACACTTATGGTGCTTGCTCTTGAAGCTTCAACAACACCAAGGATTTGTATTGTTATTTCCATATAACAATTAAGGTATGTTTTCTTAACCTTGTTCGTGATTTCGAAAATATACTAGTAGAATTAGGTTTTCCATTTGATGTTTTAAAGTTGTATGTTACATTAGAGAAAACATAGATCAAGAATTAGGGTTGCATGCACACATAGGTTTTTGTTTGTTATGCTCAAAACCAACAATCTTATCCCTCTATCGTTGTTGATTTAATTCTTTCATGTTCAGGTAATGTGATCATTTGTCAGCTTTTATGATGTTCAAGTTTTAATTTTAAGTCTTTCATTGCAAACTCAAAAGTTTTATATTTTGAAACTTGATCTTGAACACCATGTTTCCATCAATTGGTACCATCATGCATGTTTAGATCATCCAACTTTATTGTGGACCCTGGATTAAACTTACGTATTTCCTCACCATATGACCACAATATGGCATAATGCTCTTTTAACTTACTTTCTATCTCACCAATTGCTCTTTTCTTTGCTCTTTGATACTGGCTAACACAAACATTTAGGCTATACTTCTCTTTTATATCCTCTTGCAATTCTCTACAACTCAAATTTAGTTTTTCCAATATTTGCTTGGAATAGTTGTTGGCAATCCCGTTATCTGTAACAAGTGATCCACGATGCAAATTTCTAGAGCAATTATGGTATGGTATCAAGCTTTTAATCTGGAAAGATCTCTCTTTGGTCATCCACGTAGCCCGAAATCTAAATGGACACTATACTTTACTCCTCTTTTCCCACACCTAACCAATAATCTTTCTTTATATGATTTTTTATACCACAAACCATAACCATGGTCCATAATATAGTTTGTTAGACACTCCTTCAGTTCTTTTGGATCTTTAAACTTCATCCCAAGAACCAGTTTCATTGACCTTCAAGGTATAGAAGGGTTATGAGTAGTGTATACAATTTCATCAAGATCATCATCAGAAGTAGAATCATGTTGACCACTTTCTTGCTCAACAACAAACTATGTGCAAAAATAACTATCATCCTTACTCTTTAGCTTGATTATGTCATCTTCTTCTTCATGGTCCACATATATTCCATCAAACAAAGCATCATCACTTGACTTTACTATTTGATCGTCATCTACCATGTATCATATTAAATATTCACCATGAATATCAACATATAAACTGATTCTACCAACAATATAAGCATGTCGAAGGAATTGTTGGTAATCAAGAACACATTGTAGCTTCCTTAGTCTAGTTGCTATGTTTGGTCTTGGAATACAATAATAAACATGTCTACAAAATTCCCCGATGAGCTTTCTCAAGAATTATAAGAATGAGTTGTACTCCATTAAACCAAAATTAACACCATTTACCATAATGATTTTCGGATGGTGATATTTCATTGGTTTAAGGACAAAACACCCATAGTGATGTACGTCGGCTGTAATAAGCCCATCCATCTAGCTGACTCCACTGTTCGACGTCGACTGGTAATGCATTTCTTACAAGAATTTTAGGGGTTTTATAATAGGGTTTAGAATTTCGATCAAAGAGTTTGCACCGTTTACGGTGCAAGAGCAATTTGGGGGTTCGATGTTTGATTAGGGAAAATGATTGTAAAAAGGGTTTTAACGGGTTTGTTTAACGTTCGTTAAGGAGGAAAAGGATTTTTACTGGTTTTACCTTGGATAACAGGTTAACATAAGTAAAAGGGACAATGTTACCATCTAAAAACATAAAACCGTTTAACCGACAAATTTAAGACATTCTGAATGAAAAGTTACTTGGCAAAGAACCCTCTTTAATAGTATGTATCTATCTAGATGTCTTTCTTAAAATTCTATACCGTTGGTTTAGCCCTCATATTTCCAGATATTTACAGATGTACCCTCGCGTTTCACACACGTGTGCCCGAAGCCCTCAGCTTGGTTGCTTGCGGATTTATATGCCCTGGAAAACACTTATCTCAACCCTCTCTCTGTTTGGCTTACCTCTCTCTCATTCATCCCGCCGTAACCTAGCGGCGATCTAGCCATTCTCTGGTCGGATCTCCGACTAATCTATCCATACCTATTATCCTTCCCTCTCCTCTCTCTCTAGCTACCTGTACCCATTTCAAAAACAAAACAAAAAACAAGCATCTACAAAAAAGCGAAAAAATTTCTAGGGTTTCTGCGGTGTGTTTTGTTGTAAGTTGAATTTTTATCTGAGTTTCCCTTCTATCTATCTATTAAGATTTGAAATAAGAAGGGGGAGAGGGAAGTTACAAAAGCAAAAAAAAGAGAAAAATACCTGGAAAAGAGAAAATTTTTGCTAGGGTTTTGAGATGGCGGCGCAAGTTCTTCAACCTCAATCGGTGAACGGTGGTGCTGCATCTGGTGGCAACGCTCAGCAGTTTGTCCCGACGTCGTTGTATGTCGGTGATTTGGAGATGAACGTCACCGATTCGCAACTGTTTGAGCTGTTTAGCCAGCTAGGTCAGGTGGTTTCGGTTCGAGTTTGCAGGGATTTGTCTACTCGACGATCTCTTGGCTACGGCTATGTCAACTATGTGAACCCACAGGATGGTTAGTTCCGCCGAAATCTATTTTCTTTAGTGAAATGTGTATAATCTGTCTAACTTGCTAGCGTTTCGCTTTCTTCTGATAGTACTTGATTTCATTTAGCAATAATAGTAGCTGAAAGTCGAATCTAATATGCAAATAAGTAACTGGATTCGTTTTTGATGAAGACGAAATTAAAAACCTAGAATATAAATGCATTGTGTCAAACATTTGGATTGATCTTCAAGATTTATGTCTCAAACTCCATTTATGTTAATGACAGCTGCAAGGGCGATAGAGGTGCTGAACTTCACACCTCTCAATGGAAAGGCTGTTAGGATAATGTATTCCCATCGTGATCCCAGTGTACGCAAGAGTGGATCTGGGAATATATTTATCAAGGTATCTAAACATCTAAATCTATCTCACTCTGTATTTGTTTTCTTCATTACTGATTGATCTCTTGTTTGTTTCTTGAATGTCACAGAATTTGGACAAGGCAATTGACCAAAAAGCACTTCATGACACCTTCTCTACATTTGGCAACATCCTTTCTTGCAAGATTGCTACTGACATGACTGGTCAGTCAAAGGGCTATGGGTTTGTGCAGTATGACACTGAGGAAGCTGCACAACAAGCCATTGAGAAGCTGAATGGCATGCTTCTGAATGACAAGCAAGTGTTTGTGGGCCCCTTCCTACGTAAGCAAGAAAGAGAATTGGCTGTTGACAAGAGCAAGTTCACTAATGTCTTTGTTAAGAACCTGTCTGAATCAACAACAGATGATGACTTAAACAAAGCATTCAGTGAATACGGAACAATCACAAGTGCAGTTGTGATGAGGGATGCAGAAGGCAACTCCAAATGCTTTGGTTTTGTTAACTTTGAGAATGCTGAAGATGCTGCAAAAGCTGTAGATGGTCTTAATGGACAGAAGTTTGATGATAAAGAATGGTATGTTGGAAAAGCCCAGAAAAAGAATGAAAGAGAACAGGAACTGAAACAACGATTTGAACAGACCATGAAGGAGGCTGTTGACAAATCACAAGGGCTGAATCTTTATATTAAGAATCTTGATGATACCGTTTCTGATGAAAGCCTCAAGGAGTTCTTTACTCCTTTTGGTACCATAACTTCTTGCAAGGTCTGTTAATCAAGAATCATCAGATACAAACTAATTTCATAAACTGGTTATTAATTGTATCTGTTTAATTATCAGGTCATGCGGGATCCTAATGGAACTAGCAAAGGATCAGGCTTTGTTGCATTTTCCACTTCTGAGGAAGCTTCTAGAGCTGTAAGCAGATGTTTTTGTTTATTATGTTTGGATATTTTATGTAAGAGGTTATAATTTTATATCTAATTTTATAGCTGACTGAGATGAATGGGAAGATGATTGCTAGCAAGCCTCTTTATGTTGCTCTTGCTCAACGCAAAGAGGACAGAAGGGCAAGATTGCAGGTTTGTTTACAAATTAATTTTTTTGTAAACTGAATTTGTGTTCATTTTTTTTATATAAAAATTGGTGATGGTTTAATTTGTATGAAAGCAGGCACAGTTTTCACAGATGAGACCTATTGCAATGGCACCTGCTCCTGGTGGTCCCCGCATGCCAATGTACCCTCCTGGTGGTCCCGGTCTTGGTCAACAAATGTTTTATGGTCAAGCTCAGCCTACCTTCATTCCTCCCCAAGTAATTCCAATTCAAATTCCAATTCCAATTCCAATTCCATCTTTTTGTGAAAAGAATCTTGAATTATGATTTTTTATTGTGTGTGGATACAGCCTGGTTTTGGGTACCAACAGCAACTAGTTCCAGGGATGAGGCCAGGAGGGGGCCCAATGCCGAACTTCTTCATGCCAATGGTTCCGCCAGGTCAGCAAGGACA